CACAGAAGCTAGGCTTTCAAATGAGTACAAGGCGATGATTGAAGTAGAACCGACGCACGAGCTTCACAGCTTCTCCGAAGGCAGAGAACGACACTGGACCACAGGCCTGCAGATACTCAGGCCGGTGGCCTTGCTGTCCTGATCGCACCATGAGCCTTCCTAATTGCTTGTCCTTAGTCTTAATCTGTTGGAAAATATGAAGGCTTTAAGACTTTGCTTACTCAATATTTTGTGCAAGCATGCCTCGACAGTGGCAGTGCTTGCCCGGATTGTCTGCGAGTGCAACTGGTTTGCAAGGCTCCGTCGCTGCATGCCCTTGCCTCTGTTTCTGTTGCTGATGAAGCAGCGCTTCATGGACCTTCTTTTACCACCCACGGGTGAGTTCCTATGCTGCCACAACAATGTATGGATTCGAGGTGCGGGCTCGTTTGCCATTACGACCAAGGAATCTCTTCCGAGACAAGAAACATGCGCCAATAAGATTCCATTTAGTCATGGAAACAGGCAGAATTGCCGCAGACATAGACATGAAAGACATCGCTAAAACGAAGGAGAGGCGCACATGATATGAGGCGCCGTTGTAGTCTCCCTGTAGTGAGGCAGGCAGAAGTTCGTGGCTGGGGGGCGCCAACGACATTTTGGATCTCAGCAATGCATAAAGTGTCCATCTTTGTCAGCGATACCGCAGTTGCTAAGAGACTATATGTGATCACAAGTCTGGTCGTTCAGTATGCTTTCTCGTCTTTCTTATGTCTGCGCAGTGGCCCCAACGCAGTAATGCGGCAAAAGCGGACCAATCTTTCAACAGCGGCTCATCTCTCGAAGCTAAAACAGAGACCGTGGCATCCAGACATCTCACTTTCTAGGTGCGAGGCATTAAAACATAGTATTTCTACTCCCAAGTCCGGAAAGAATAAAGATTTGAATCCCAGAGCAGCCGCCAAATGTAGTGCGCGGCGCCTACTGCTGCGACTACGCTGCTTCCTGCCCCTCTAACAGGTCTACATACTACGCCTAGTATAGCCCCATTTCTCGGTCTCCATAGCTTTATTCCATCGAAATACGACAATTCAAAAAGTGTCGCAAATCTGTCTCGTCGATTCACTCCCTTCTCCGAGCTCACCTCCTAGGCCCTATGGGGAGGAGGTCCGCATTGGTGCCGGCGCTATCGCCAGCTCCAGTCTCGACACAATTTCTGCACATTTCACGTTTTCATTAGAACTGACTAACTGTTTTTCTTATTTTTTTCTTATTGGGAGGGTCCTGTTCTCCTCCAGTGTGGCGGCCCCTTGTAGGTCGCTAGCTAGCTATCATCTCTAGGACACTAGCCAGCCCCATTGTAGTGCCTGTGCACTACAACGAGAGCGAAGAGCCGCGCGCGTTTGTTCTACTGCAAGCATCAATGGTGTCGTTAGTGTGTCGTGCGAGCAGGTGTTAGAGAGACCGGGACGGCGAGACAAGGCATCAGCCACCTGATTTCGCGTTCCTTGAACATAAGTAATGCGCAAATCCGGGAACTCGGCCAGGAAGTCTAACCACCGAGTGGTGCGTCCGCGCAAAGGCTTCGATGCTTGGAGTTGCTGAAGATGCGTAAGGGCTTGGTGATTTGTATGAGCTGTAACTTTGGTGACACGGAGCAAATGAGACCACTTGTCCAGGGCCGTGACCAACGCCAAGAATTCTTGATCGTAGATCGAGTACTTCTGTTGTGTCTGGTTCATAACTTGGCTGAGGAAACCGATGGGCTTGCCTACTTGCTCTAGAACCGTTCCGATCGCATAACCAGAGGCATTCGTGTATAAGTCGAAAGGCTTCTTGGTGTCGGGAACTTGTAATGCTGTGAAATCGATTAAGCGCTGTTTGAGCTGCCGCACCGCCTTTTTGTGAAGTTCTGTCCATTTGAAACTAACGTCTTTACGTGTAAGATCAACCAGAGGCCGCGCAACGTCTGCATAATCAAGTCCCATGAACATGCGACAGTAATTTACGGTACCGAGGAACTGCCGCACTTGCGTTTCATA